GCACGAGCACTGCCCAAGGAGGGGAGCCAGTAGGTGGCTCCGACCTTCAGGTCTCAGGCAGTGAGGGCCCAGGGTTACTGCTGAATGAAAGTTCTGCTGAGTTTCTCAAAGAGAAACTTGAAACTCAAAATTCTGAATTTGAAATCTCAATTTTCATATGTTGGCAGCTACACTGGGAAGACCAAACACAACAGATGTGAGGATTATACTCAGTCCTTGGGCCACTCATTACATTAAACAAAATCACATCCACATTGAGCCCAGCCCAATCCACCAAGTCAAATGTGGACTTTATTTCTCATTCTCAGTCGAAAACATTCACGTTCAGAATTCTTGCAGGATGGTCTGCATTCTCTTGATCACGTTTCTTACTTTTTAAAAAATCCTTTCAGGAGCCAGATAAGCTAGCTACTTTGACCTATGTCCTATAAGACAGACAGTAGTGCTTGGTTTGGGCTAGAGGCCTAAACTGTGTGAGTGAACACTAAAATAAAAGTGAATCTCGTCAATGAAAACACCGCGAAACATTTGCCATACTTTCATTTCACAACGTGTTTTCAAGCAAGTCCTGAGAATGAGGCAAGAGTCACAGGACTTGGAAGCTCACTCACCAACTGGCAACAGGACCAGACTTCCTGTCAGCAGTTTCAGGCAGAGGCAGGAATTCCCTCCACAGCTCTTGAGTATGCCTAACTATAGATTCTGTCCCCAGAATTATACACTCTAAATTAACTGGACACCCAGGGTCTTACCAAATTTAAGTCCTAGACTATATGGTAATATGCATATTCATAAGAAAAGGAGGCATTTTTATTTACCTGTAATTTTGAAAGGTCTTCCATATAATTTTTATCAGCCAAGGATTCAGATGATATTAAGACATTAACCCACGGACTGATTAAGCCATAATGACTACAGGTGTTTATCTAAAATGTAAAAGAAATTTATCATAAACAAAGATACAACAAAACAAGACTTTCTTCATCCATCCCACAAACAGCAAGCAATCCCTAACATTCTGCCGTGTCCCAAAATTAGGTATACATTTTCCTGGTAATGGGAAGAAAGTCTTAGAATGTATTCCCCTGGAAAAGGTTTTAGTTTTGCTGCTTCTCACTGAATAAATCCTCACTAAATATTTCCTAATATTTTAACTTTCAAAAAACTGCAAAGAGACACTTTCTCACAAAAAGAGCAATACTTCCTTTAAGCTAATTACGCTCAAAAAAAATTAACAGTAATACTGAAAATAATTTTTATTTCTACTACTTTCCTTGGGAGGCAAAATCTCTTCCGTAAGTTCTCAAGACAATTCCCATAAAGACTCCCTTATTCAAGCAAACCCACATTAGCGACTCTGTCACTGTGAGGGACAAAGGGGCTGCCGGGGGTCGGGGTGAACAGGAAGGATAAGAGTAGAGTTGTTAGGGCTGCTGCAGACTGCGGAACGGCTCTTGTCTGTGCAGCTGACAGGGAATGGAAGTCTGGTAAGGAAGTCTCTCTCCCACAAGCCTTCTGCAGTTCCTCTCCCAGCAGGGAGGTCTGCAGATGTCTCTTCTCTCATGTTCCGCTTCATGACTCTCGCCTAAGGGAGCACAGATGGATTTGGGGAAAAGCCCTTTCTCCCACACTTTGGCT